ACTGAACCCAGGCCCTCTGAAAGAGTAGCCTGTGCTCTTAAGCCCTGAGTCACCATTCTAGTCCCAAAAATGGAAGTTTCTAAAACCGAACAATAGATTGTAGGCAGGGGAGACCCTTAGGATTATAGGGTAGACAGGAAGTTATTGGCAGATCAATGATATTGATGTATCCTACTGAGCTAATGCTCACTCAGTCATTTATTCATTTATTCATCATGCATTATTGTCTGTCTGATATGGTAAGAGAGTAAATGTATACAAGACACCCTGTTGGGGGCTGGAGAGATGGCTCAGCGGATAAGAACACTGGCTGTTCTTGCAGAAGACCTGGGTTCGAATCCCAGCACCCACATGGCAGCTAACAACTGTCCTTAACTCCAGTTCCAGGGGATCCGACAGCTTCTTCTGTCTTCTATGGGTATTGCATGACATGGGTGCACTTACCTACATGCAGGCAATACATGGACACACATAAAATAAAAACAATAAATAAAATATTTTAAAAAAACCCCAAAACAAGACACCCTGTCACAACTCAAAAAGGCAAAAGTCCTGTTGTTAGTTTTGTTTATTTTAATAGTTATTCGAGTAGTTACTAGTTCTTTACCAATTAGAGAATCAGTCATTGAGAAATTTTATGTGCAGGAGAGTTCAAGGTCTGGAGATGTAGGTTTGCCACACACAAAAAAACTGTGTGACCCTGGTTGCCAGTAAGCTTAAATCTAGTAAGAAAGTAGGATCCAAGTAGAGGTTGAACTATAGCCTTAAAGTGCTGAATGCCCACATACTAATTCCTGGTCCAGAAATGAAGAAAGAGAGAAAGAGAAAGACTATCAAGGGCCCTGAGTTCAAATGAAATGCCTTGTTCTTTCAAAAATTTTATATAATTCCTAGTAAACTGGCATTATTTCCACATTATAAGCATAGCATTTAAAGATTTTAAGTTAGGGGACTGGAGAGATGCTCAGTGGTTAAGAGCACTGGCTGCTCTTGCAGATGACCCAGGTTCCATTCCCAGCACCCACATGGCAGCTAAACACCACCTGCAACTCCAGTCCAGGAGATTCAATGCCCTCTTCTGGTCTCCATGGGCTTTGCATACACAGGTACACTTTTACATACATGTAGGCAAGACACTCATACAAATAATAAGTAATTAAAAATTTAAAAAAACCAAACCAAGCAAGAAACAAACAAAAAAGTGTTGATAGTAATTTTAAAATAACATTCCCTTAAATGCCTATTTTGAACATGCAAGTTTAATTTTAAAAATAGGTTATTTGTGGAAAGCACTGAGTTTCAGTTCTTCTTAGGTGTCTTTTTGACGTCTTTCCTGTGTGATGTGCACTCGAGGTGGGTAAGCTAATCATATTAAGCCATTAAAAATTATGAAGATAAAATTTGTGTAAAGATATACCAAAGTATAGTAAAAAATAGGTTTGGGGAAAAATGCTTTTAAGGATATCAGTCTGGATCATTTTTGTGTGCCAACAGACTTGGTTAAATGTGAAAAGATTTTTAAAAACTTAATTTGTTGAGTTGAAATTGACCTACAGAAAGATTTTTATGTTGGAAAGGAATATTGCTTGAAAGGACAGGTGGGTCACATATGCTTGGTTTTTGATACCCCAAACCTGAGGAATATCTTACTGATTTCCAGTGCTTAGAACTGTCTGAAACTTTTCCTCCCCCTTGATTAATGCTGGTTTCTACCGGAGGCAACATTTCCGCTAATAGCTGAAAGCTGAGACTTCTGAACACTTTTAAATTTCTTCTTTCTTCACAGTTTTAAAGGGGTCCCTGGCCGCCTCTGTCTGTCATTGTGGGTGGGTACTGAAGCGCAGAAAAGAAAATGCGAAGCAAGACAGCTGTACAGGAGGGTTTGCCTGTTAAAGAAGTTGATAGACAGATGGCACAGGGTTCACTGTTCTTGCCAGCTGAGGGCTTAGCTTCCAGAAAGCTCTCCTCTAGGGGAACAAGCGAGGCAGTGTGGAAAGCCTGAAAGGCCTCATTGAGCGACAGCAGGGAGGCTCTTGTCGCACACTGTCTGGTATGTGGCGCCCTTCCGAAACCGGCTCTCCACATTTCTGCACCCCCAACATCTCAATCGCTGTAGAAACCTGCCCCCTATTATACATGACATTCCCCCAAGGTATTTCCTGGTTTGTTTTTGTTCATCTTGAGCCTATGGGGGTCAGACAATGATTCCCTTGCTCCCCAGGCTTAATTCGGTGGAAGCAGGGTCGGGTACCAGCCTGCAGTTTCCGGGACAGATCGATGTGCTAGTTTTCAGAACTTAAATCTGTGTGCTGCTGCAGAAGAGATGCTGGGGCAAGAGGTGAGGGAGGCAAATTTAAGACCGACGTTTTAAATCATTTCCGCTAGCTCCTTCGTTTTCTTGAAGGTTCATAAATTGACACTGAAGAATAGGTTTCCTAAGATATTAAAAGTTATTGTTTGTATCGATGAAGTTGCAGAGACTGAGAGAGCTCGTCCCAGGGAAGACCTGGCCATCTGTGGCATGTTGATTTGTTAGAGAAAGGCGGGGAGGTGGGGCAGGCATCCTCTTCGGTGGTTATCATTCAAGTGTCAATAGAGCTCCTAGGCAGCCTGCCTTAAGAAAAGGTGTGGCCTGAGAGCCTTCCTGTGAGGAGCCCACACAGCCTGTACAGTGGGGCAGCAGTTTCACCATGTAGCCCTGACTGGCCTGGAACTCCAAGTTGGCCTGGGACTCACAGAGTGCTGGGACTAAAGGCCACCAAGCTGTCTCCTCCCCTTATTCTTCAGGAAGCACCAAGTCCTGAAAGGTTACTTGTTCAAGGTTACACAAGGCCAGACCTTTGTACTTCCAGGATGGTGGGGCTTGCCCATTCTACATTGTTAAAGTTGCCCTGTGGCTGTCAGAGAACAATTCAAGCCAATGTATAATGTGACATGAACAACCAGTCAGCATTGCATATGGGGAGAGTGCCTTCACTGGAATTAGCTGGAAAGTGAGGTAGATTTTCAACAGAGGGGATGATCTGGACATTACAAGAAAACCAGATAATATGATCTCTGCTCTGTAGTGTTTGGGGATATATGTAAGGAACTTTGTATTCTTCAAGCATGAAGAAGGCCTTAAAACTGCCCTGGACTGGAGTGTGTGTTGGCAAGTGTCACTGCCAAGCATCGTGGGCTTGGGAGGGGAGACATACTATGCTGAAAGACCTCTCTTTTCTTAATTGAAACTAAAGTGGCCAGGGCTTGGAGTGGAAGGAGAAATGGAGTTCAGGTGAGGACAGCCCCCATCCCTACTAGTCATAAATTGATATTCTCGCTGACGGGCCTTATCGGAGCATTGCTAGCCTGTTTTGAGATATGGCCATGGAACATACCACCCTGAACCATAAAGCGATTCCTGTTCTTCTTCGAACAAGTCCTTCCAAACAATGTGGACTTAAGCCCTTTACAAACACCCCTACCAACCAGCGTAACTGTCACATGAACACACTTAAACTCCCCTGCAGCTTGACTGGCATGGCTGCTACAACTTCTTCTGGTCAGTACCCCCTCATTGGCTGTAATAAAGGTCAATTTGGGCTGTCCAGATTGGTTGCTTTCTTTCCTACCTGTGATTCTTTCCACTCCTTTTCCTGACACTGAGCAAACTCATTAAGCCATTTGACCTTTGGGGCTGAACCTAGATCCTAGAGCTTTGACTCCATATTGGGAAACTTTGGGGTCCTTGTGTAAAGAGCACAAATTACTTGTCACACTGCCTGACTGCAGCAAGTTACTTTTTGGTCTTAACACTATCTCTCTCACTTCTGTGTCCTCCAGTTTCCTTGTCTTAGAGGTCTTCTGAAAACAAAAGTAACATCTGCCACTTAAGGAGGATACTTGTTCTAACAGAAGGGATGGGGAGGAGGAGGACACCCCCAAAGATCAATCATCAAGTATGAGTATTAGAGGCCAGAGAGAGCGGGTGCTGGTTTGCAGAACGGGAAGGGCTGTGCAAATGCAGGTGGCTGGGGGGTTTTGGGGGCGGTCTGAGGTATCTAGGAGAGTGGAGAGGGAGGGGGGGCTCCCACAAAAGCAGCCTCCAGGGCCTTGTAAATCCTGTTAGAGCAGGTGGACTTTAATTCAAGGGCAATATAGACTATGAATATTGGATTAAAAAAATTTAGATCTACCTCATTTCAGTGTGGAAATGGGTTGTGGGAGAGGGGAAATGAGACCCAATTGAATCAGGGAGTCTAAGCAGAAGACTTGCAGTAGGTGAAGAGAAAGGGGGTCGTACTAAACCAGGAACCTGAAGAGACCTGCATTCAGGCCAAAGAACTCAAAACTGACCCTCAAACAAATGTGCAATTCAAGATATGGCTTGTAAACTGGTGTGACTAGTTAATGTGTCTTTTGGGAGCATCAAATCCAAACTTCAGAGAATGAGAGCTATCTGAAATAAAAATGTTTATTGAGTCACTACAGATGGAGCCAGAAAGAAAACCCCCCTCCTGGGACACGTTCCTGTACCCCAGCAGCAGGTCAGGGAGCAGCTGAGGGCAAAGTGTGTTGAAATGGAAAGTTGGAGAGAAAGAAAACAAATTGCTTAAATGGAACTTTAAAAAAATTTTCCAGTACCGAGAACGAACTCGGGTCCTGTGCATGCTAGGCAAGAGTGCTTCCATTGGCTGTTGAGCTACAGTCCAAATCTTTCTGTACTTTTTGAGACAGGGTTCTACTAAGTTGTCCAGGCTGGCTTTGAACTCACTCTGTAGTCCAGGCAGGCTTTGATCCTCCTGGTGTAGCCTCCAGACTAGCTGGGTTATAGACCCCGCATTAGACCTCCCCACTTGTTTTTTCTTTTGTTTTTTTTTTTTTTTTCATTTTTTTTCAGGCAGGGTCTCATGAATCTTAGGCTGGCCTTCAACTCACCATATTGGTCAAGGATGCCCTTGAACTTCTGATCCTCCTGCCTTTATCTCCTGAGTGCTGAGCTACATCCCCTGCCCCTGCTGTTTTTTTTTTTTTTTTCTTCTTCATGAGTCATAGTCTTGCTTTGTAGTCCAGGCTGTCCTTGAACCCTCTCATTCTTCTCATCTCCCCTCTCAAGTACTGGGATTACAAGGGTGCATCTTCACATCTGGCTCCAAATAAAGCCTTTAAGGAAAAAGATGTTGAGTTTTAAGTGCTTTAAATTGTGTGGTATGTGGTATGTGATGTGAGTGTGAGTGTGTGTGTGTGTGTGTGTGTGTGTGTGTGTGTGTGTTTAGGTTGGAGGTTGACATCAGATGTCTTCCTCAGTCCCTTTCCACCTTACTTTTTCAGACGGTCTCTCATTGAACCGGTTCACTGGCCAGCGAGTTCCAGGGATGTGCTTGTTGGGATTGCAGACATGATGGGTGTACCTAGCAGAGATCCAAACTTAGACCCTCCTGCTTATGTAGCAGGACTTGGAGTCATCTCCCTAGACTTTAAGCTTTTTTTGTTTTTAATTGAAAGAGTAATGCATACTGTGGTGACATCTGAACAGCAATCAAAGAATTTAGTGAAAAGTCAAGGAATTTAGTGAAAAGCATGTCTCCGGAACCAGAGCCAGCCATTATTAGTTTTGTGTATTCTTTAGAATTTTTGTGCCTTTGTAAGCTTATGCTTAATATTTTTCTTTTACAAAAATTGGAACATACTTTTCACCTGCTCTTTCCTTTACTAACTCACTTAATACTATATTTTGGAATCTTGCTCCATCTACCTTGCTCTTTTTTAATGACTGTCCATTGTAGGAATGTGATGTATTATGCATGTATGTATATATGTATGTATGTATGTATGTATGTGTGTATGTATGTATGTACAAAGTATTGAATGATCCCAGGGCTTCTTGTGTGCTAGACAAGTGCTCTACCACTGAGCTACCACCACCTCCACCACCCCAGTTCCTTTTAAATGTTTAAGTTTCCTCGACTGGTCTTGAACTTGTGATCCTTCCATCTCAGCCTCAGAGTAGCTGGGATTGAAGGTTCATATCAATAAATATGGCTTTTGTAATTTATTTAAGTTGGTCTCTAAACTAATGGGCAATGGAGCTGTTTCTAATTTTTGGCATTTGAATTAAATTTTAAAGAGAGGAAAGATACCAATTAATGAAGGGAGAATTCTAGATGGTGAAAATATTTACACATATACAAGCACCCCTGGCATCTGTATGTGGGAGGAGATGCTGTTGACTTGCTGAAACCACGAAGTCAACATCTCTTGGGAGTAGAGGCGGAGAGTGAGGTGTGTTCATGCAGACCTTTGAGTCTATGTGTAGACCTGGAGCTAAGCATTCCTCACAGGGATGGACTGAAGCTGGCTGTATCTGACACTCCATCAGTTAAAGACCCTCCTGGACCGGAGGCTGGCATAGAAAGGAACACTGACCACGCATCCCTCCAGAACAAATGCTTCCTTTCCCATCCACACTGTCACTGTGTCACACCCAAAGGTGGCCTATTACTATTGTTTCTGTGGGCTTCCTTGCCATAACAAGAAACATGAAGTGTGTGTAAAAATATACGCAAAATAGGTTCACTGGCTTGAACAGAAAATTGCATCAGAAATGAAGGAGAAAACAAGCCATTTGTTTAAGGTCACCTCCCATTATTTCCTCCTTTCTATTTAAGTGCACTCCATCCTCTCTGCTGGTGTTGGAAGAATTGATTTTAGATGCAGCCATTTAGCAGTTGTGTAATCATGGGTAACATCTCCAAGCTTAGGTTCCCTCATCAGTAAAATGGACATAATTTCCAGTTGGTACAAGTGTTGGGAAGGTTTAATGAGCCAATAGATGTAAAAGGAACTATGGTTCATTTTACTTTTTTCTAAGGCCTTGTCAGAATGGCATTTGGAAAGCAATGTGCTATCTAACCCATGACAATAGATATAAACGTACCCTTCTCTGTCCCAGGATGTGACTGCCAACATAAGCCTCTCACACCCCATGTACTATATTGAAACCATTCCTGAAAAAATTCATCACCTTTAGGGAATTCTTAGCATTTTTGGGGGCATCTTTTTGAGACAGGGTCTCCCTTTTTATTTTATTTTTTTGGTCTTTTTGAGACAAGGTCTCCCTGTAGCCACAGCTGGTCTGGAACTCACTATGTAAACCAGGCTGGCCTTGAACTCCTAGAGATCCACCTGCCTCTGCCTCCCGAGTGCTGGGATTAAAGGAACCATGCCTGGCTTTTAGCATATATTTTTTAAAATTTTGTGTGTGTGTGTGTGTGTGTGTGTGTGTGTGTGTGCACTTGGAGGTCAGAGGTCAACCTCAGTCACTTCAGGATGGTGCCACCTCTCAGGCACTGTCCACCTTGTTTTTTGGGACAAAGTATCTCTTTGTCCTACAGCTTGCCCAGTTAACTGGCCAGTGAGCTCCAGGAATCTGTCTATTTCAACCTCCCCAGGATGGCAAATGCTTTCCCAACTGAGGCTTTCTTTATTTTCTATAGCGCTTCATGGTTGGCAAAGGGACCTTAGTAAAGATGATCTAATTTGGACCTTCCTATCTTGCCTTCCAGGAGAAGGCCCATTTTATTCTCCTTATAATAGATGACACAACTGAGGCTCAGAAAGCTTGATATAAAGAACCAAAGCTCAGAAAAGACAAATAGATGAGACCATAGCAGGCCACATCTAGACTGTAGATGCCCCTAATGATAGGGTTATGATCCCAAGAATTGAAAACACATTAAATTAAATTCACCTAACCTCCCAAACATCACAGCTTAGCAGCACACTACATACTAGAGTATCCATCGTACAGCTGACTAGGAGCTGCGGCCTCTGTGGCATGGAGGATGTATGTCTATGCTGCAGCTAACCCAGAAAAGGTCCAAAAATCAAAGAATGGTTTACTGAATGTATATTGCTTTCGCACTGTCAGAAAGTTGAAAAATGATAAGCTGAGCTGCTGTAATTTGAGGACTGCTGTACTTCAAGACTGCTAAGGTAGGAGGCAGCCTCTCTGACCTCAGTCGACTCAGGCTTGCAGTTCTTGAGTCTGCTTCTCCAATTATCCTTTGCACCTAGTAAGGTGCATGCCACTTCTAAAAACACTTGCACATGTAGTCACAGTACTTGGTAGGTGGAGGCAGGGGTTGGGGTCACTTGAACCCTGCAGTTAAGACCAGCCAAAGAGAAAAAGGGGGAGAGGGGAGCATGGAGAAACAGTATTAGCAAGACAGTAGTTGTATGGAGTAAGTAAAGCAAATACCCATAATTCAAATTTTCAGATGAAGAAATAGATTTAGGAATTGAGAGTTGCGCAATAAGAAGCAGAGCCCAAACAGGAACATGGCCTTCCAGCCAGTGACTTCAGTGCCTTTTTATACTTTCATCATTGCTAATATGCTGTCTTCCTGTAGCCCCAGCTGGCCTGGAACTCACTATGTAGCCCAGGTTGGCTTTGATCTCACAGAGAACCACCTGCATCTGTCACCTGAGTGCTGGGATTAATTTAAAGGCATGTGCCACCAAGCCTGGCTCTTAAATTTGAAACCAGGTCTCACCACCTTGCCCAGGCTGGTCTCAAACTTGGCCTCAAACTCTTAGCTCCTGGTTAACTATAATTACAGAGTTCACCACCAGGTCTGGCTTTTAATAAATTTTTTTAAAATTACATTTATTTGGTGTGTGTATGTGGGGAATCATGAGGGAGCCACAGGGGGTTCGTGGAAGTTAGAGGACAACTTGTAGGAGCAAATTCTCTCTGTCCACCATGTGGGTTCTGGGGATGGAATCAGGTTCTCAGGCTTGGTGACAAGTGCCTTTACCTGTGGAGCCATCTTGCCAGCCCTTAATGAATGTTTTGATGACAGTATGATAATAGCTTTTACTTAAAAGTCACTAAGCACACTAAGTTCTATTAAACAGTAGGAAAAAGAGATTGAATACGGCAGAGCACATCTTTAATCCCAGCACTCAGGAGGCAGAGGCAGGAGGATCTCTGTGAGTGCCAGGCCAGCCAGGGCTACATAATGAGACCCTGTCTCAAACCAAACCAAACCAACCAAACAAAATAAAATACACACGAAAGGGGGCAGTGACAAAAAAAATCACACACGGGTATGTAACCCCCACATGGATAGAGAGTATCTAGACTCTTCATATCAATAAGGAACTGGCATTTTCTAGGCGAGTTGACCTGTAGGCGATACAGGCTGGAGTACTGTAAGTGTGTCATCGGAGATGGTCAGTAGATCACAGCACTAAGTCACTCTGACAGCACAGCCTAGCATTGTTCTGGTCTTTTCCTTACCAAAAGATACATTTACTAAATCTTGAGACCAGGATGGTAGTACACACGCCTTTAGGCCCAGCACTCACTTGGGAGACAGAGGCAGATGAATCTCTGTGAGATTGAGGCCAGCCTGGTCCACATAGCGGGTTCTAGGCCAGTTGGAGTTACAGGGAGACCCTATCTCAAAAAACAAAAACAACAACAACCCAAAAACATTTAAAAAAATATATTATTTATTATTTTTATTTTATGTGTATGAGTGTATTGTCTGCATGTATGTAAGTGTACCCGTGTCATGCAATGTCTGAGGAGTCAGAAGAAGGTGTCAGATCCCCTGGAACTGGAGTTACAGACAGTTGTCAGCCACCATGTGGGTTCTGGGAATCAAACCTGGGTCCTCTGCAAAGAGCAGTCAGTGCTCTTAACCGCTGAGCCATCTGTCCAGCCCCCCAAAACATTTTCTAAATCTTATTTCAACATCATGTGAAAAAAAAGAGAATTTGTAATAATTTTCTTAAACAGTCTCTCCCCTGTTCCCCTCTTCCAGACTGAATCCAGGCCTTGTGCATGCTAGGCAAGTGCTACCACTGAGCCCCTCAGCTCACAGCACATCTCTTGTTAGATAATAAAGGCTTTGCTTACCTTTCTCTTGCTCTTTTCATAGGTGCTTGTTGGTCTGCTCATCCTTGTGGTTCATGTGGCCTAGAGTAGACCCTAAAAGAGGAGGAATGCAGCGAAAGGATCAATGGTTAAACAGGGCAGGATGTGTAGATTCGGAATTTAAAAACAAGAGCAAGATTTCCCTTTTTGGTGAAGAATTAATTGGCCTTGGCCCTTAGCTACTGGGAGATGAACATTTCCGATGTTCTGTCTGATGGGAATGCCTTGGTTTGTCTGGGAAATTTGGCTTGTGGGTGGTTGGACAATGTGATTTATAATGTGGGCTTTGGAATAAGCCACATTCATTCCAAAGGAAATGGTGACTAAAGGTTAGCCATTCAGGCAGCATGTAATCAAGCTCTGGACACCAAAGACTTGGGTAGGATGAAAATTGTCACCACGGTAGCTGGGAGGAGGCGCTGATATCTGGGACCCCACAGAAGAAGATGGAGGCCTTGTGCTTGGGTCTGTCCCAGCTCTTCTCTCGCTTGTTCTGAATTGCATCTTCTTGCTCTAATAAAACTTTGATCATAAATATTGTGCTTTTCTGCATCCTGCGAATCACCCTAGCAAATTATGAAAGCAGAGGGGATGGTGGGACCCTTGAGCTTGTGTCTGAAGTCAGGCAAGCTGGGGAGGGCTGTCCTCTGACCTCTGCAATCTGGCCTCATTCTGGGTACTTGGTGGCATACATGGCTGAGCTTTCCCAAACTCACTTTGAGGTTTGATTTGGGCACATTCTGGCTTGGTTACTTCTTTAGCTTCACTTTTTTAAAAAGTCATTAATTTGGGGGTGATCCATTGTCTATTTTCTTCACAGAGTTAATATGAAGAACAAAAAATTAAATAATATATGCAAAAGCTGTTGAGATAGTAAAAATATGCTATTTAAAACTGTAAAGGGGGCTGGAGAGATGGCTCAGTGGTTAAGGGCACTGGACCCAAGTTTGGTTTCCAGCACCCACAAGGCATTAACAATGATCTAGAACTCCAACTCCCTTTTCTGGTATTTGAGGGTATTGCATGCCTGTGAACATAAGCAAGCAAAAATACTCATACACATGAAATAAATTTTTTAAAAAAACTGTAAAGGGTTATCAGAATATTTTAACATTATCACAGTAGAACTAAATGGAGGGAATGAATGTGGCGGAGGTACGGGCAGCTTAGGAAAGATCGTACCCAATCATTTATGATATAGACAAGTAATGAGTTTATACTGTGTGCAGAGTGTTAGGAAGGTAGGTGCAAACAAGCCAGGGCCCTTATAGTCTCCTTTGGGAGAGACATAATAAAAAGCCAAATGAAATGAATAATCAGCCTGCAGTAATTGTGAAGGAAATGAATGAATGATTGCTTGAGCTATCTTTTTCTCCCTTCCTTCCTCCCTTCCTCTTTTGAGACGAGATCGTGCTATCATATGTAGCTCAGGCTAGCTTGGAACTGTGATCCTCCTGCCTCAGCCTCCTTAGTGTTAGGATTACAAGTGTGCACCATCACCTTTGGGCCAATGTTTCACTTTTTTTTTTGAGACAGGGTCTCCCTGTAGCCCCAGCTGACCTGGAACACACTATGTAGACCAGGCTGGTCTTGAACTCACAGAGATCTGCCTGCTTCTACCTCCTGAGTGCTGGGTTAAAGGCGTGCGCCACCACGTCCAGCTGTGTTTCACTTTTTGAGACAGGGTCTTGTTATGTTTCCCGGTTTGCTGGTCTTAAACTCCTGTGCTACAGAGGTCTTCCCTGCTCATCCTCCTAAGTAGCTGGGACTGGAGGTGTGCACAGACAGATGTGCTTGGCTGACAAAACAGAATGATATGGTAAGGATTTCATTGGAAGGGAAGCTTTGTGAGACAAAGTGGCCAAAGTTTGGGGCTCAAAGGGGCTGACATTTGAATGAAGATTTTAAAGGAAGAGAATAAAAGTGAATCAGACCCATGGAGGAGCAAAGGCAAGAGCTCTGAGGAGGGAAAGCGTTTGTTGTGTCTGAAGACTGCAAAGGTCTGTGTGACTGGATCTGGGAGAATAGAAGTTTGAATATATGCATAGGTCAGAGTGTGTGCTAGGGAAAGGAGTTGGATTCTTTAAGAGTGCTGTGAGTTGGATGGTTTTAAAGGGGCAGTAACACGAATCACTTTAAGTAGACACTCTAACTGCTCAACGGAAAGTGGGGAAGCAGCAGGAGGGATGTCAGCAGACTGCAGTTATTTAGGTGAGACAGAAAAATGGTCAGGTTTTAGGAATGGCTCAAAGAAGAGCCCCAAAATGTTTGCTGATTCGGGGAGTAAGAGGAAGAAAGGTATGCCCGTTGGGAACTTTGGAGGCCAGATGCTGAGGAGTTCAGAGTTTCAGTACTGAACAAAGGGAGTAACCACTATAAAAGAGAGGGGAAGAGATACAGGATTAGGCAGGGGACGGCTCAGACTTGGGTAACCCATTGCAAAGACACTCAGGGCAAAGATACTTCTCAGAAGAGTTTTCTCACTAGGCAGAAATGTATGGGTCCCACTAGTTCCACTAGCTGGGAGCTTCCTAAGAGGAGGGGACTTTGCCTGAAAAACTGAGCCAGATCCTGATAGGATACTTGCCTAGCATATGTAAAGTTCTGGATTTGATGATCCCCAGCACTGCAAAAACAAAAAATAAAAAACAACAAAAACCCAAACAAACAAAACAAAAACAACAGCAAAAACCCCAAATCATTTGATTTTTGGTAAAAAACAAAACAAAACAGAATTTATCATCTTAACCATTAAGTAGTTCAGTGGTATTAACATATTCACAATGTTGTGCAACAGAAGCCCAGAACCTTTTCACTTTACTACATTGAAACTCTATACTCATTAAACAACTCCATGTTTTCCTGCACACAAACTCCCAGTAACTACTATTTTCTTTTCTGTTCCCATGAATTTGGCTACCCTAGACACCTCAGGGAAATGGAATTTATTTGTCTTTTGTGACTGGCATATCCTTCTCAATCATGTTTTCATGTGCCATCCATGTTGCAGCATGTGACAGGATCTCCTCTTTTTAGGGCTGCATGTTGTTCCATCATGTGTTCATATCCCATTTATGTGTCTGTGCAGTTGCACATGTATGTGTGGGTGTGCACACACGTGTCTCAGAGTTCAGCCTTGAGTGTCAGTCCTCAGGATCTGTCCACCTTGTTTTTGGAGACCAGGCTTCTCATCAGCCTGTAGTTCACCGATTCCTCTAGGCTAGCTGGCCAGCAAGCCCCAGGATTCTCCTGTCTCTGCTGCCTTGGGGCTGTCAGGTTTTTTGTATGTGGGTTCTGCAGATTGAACCCATGTCCTTACGTTTGCATGTAGGAACTTTATTGACTGAGCCATCTCCCCAGACCCTCAGGTCCTATTTTGCTCATGAACTGTTAACTTGAGTTGTTTCTATGTCTTGGCCACCATGAAAGTTACTGTGAACGCAGGTGTACAGATACCTCTTCAAGGCCCTGCTTTTAAGTATTTTGGATGCCTACCCAGAATTGCCAGATCATAAGGCGATTCTCTTTAATTTTTCAAGGAACTGTCACATTGTTTTCCATAGACACTGGTTAGCAACAATGCACAAAGGCTCCAATTTCTTTTTAAAACTTAAAAAAATATTTATTTTATTTTATGTGTATACATGTATTGCCTGCATGTAGGTAAATGCACCCGTGTTGGTGCAATGCCTGCAGAGGACAGAAGAGGTTGTTGGATCCCCTGGGACTGGAGTTACTGACAATTGTTAGCTGCCATGTGGGTGCTGGGATTCGAACCCACGTGCAAGAGCAACCAGTGTTCTTAACCTCTGAGCCATCTCTCCAGCCCCAGGATCCATTTTCTTTACTTGACAGAGTTCATGACTTTTCATTGTGTGCTTTTGACTATGCCTATTCAGCAATGCCTTTGTTGCTGTCCATCTGTCTTGTCCCCAGGGACATGTTCTGTTAACAACTTAACTTCCTGTGAGTCAAGCCTTGACTGTCCCTTTAATTTTTTTGGCCACTAAAAGAACTGTGATCCCCTAGCTTCCTCGGCAGCCACCTCACCCCTCCTGCTTGGCTGTGGGGAGTCAATTGTTTTTACTGATATTCCCGTTACTAACCCCATTTCTGGTCTGCAGAGAACACTATCATGAGTATAGTGATGTTGATTCCCCTCACCAGCATGATTCTGATAGCTATGGTAAGGTGTCTTCTGAGTCTTCCATGAAGCGTAATCCATGGTTAGTCTTATTACATAATATGGCTTTAAAAGTTATTTATTATTTTTATTTTATGTGTATGAGTGTTATGCCTGCGCTTAAGTAAGTGCATCTGTGTTGTGCAATGCCCTCGGAGGACAGAAGAGGCTGTCGGATCCCCTGCAACTGGAGTTATGGACAGCTGTTAGCTGCTATGTGGGTGTTGGGATTCTTGAAAAGTCAGTTTTCTTAACCGCTGAGCCATCTATCCAGCCCTATGTTTTTTGTTTGTTTGTTTGTTTGTTTTTTTTAGATAGTCTCATGTATTCAGGCTGGCCAGAAACTCCATATGTAGCTGAGGATAACCTTAAACTGCTGATCCTTCTGGCTCTCCCTCCTGAGTGCTAGGACTACACCACCATGCCAATTTTATATATTGCTGGGATTGAACCCCAGGTCTTGTGCATGGTACGAAAGCATTCTATCAACCGAGGCCTCAAAGGAAACTGGAAGTCAAAAGCCTTCAGGCAACCAGTGTGGTGGCACATACCTGTAATTCCAGCTACTCAGGCAGTGAGGCAGGAAGATCAGGCGTTTAAGGACAGCCTGGGAAATGAATTGAGATACTGTCTCAAAATAGAAAAACAGTTCCCCTATTAGAACTAGACTCAGCTACCACTCAAGATAATGCAGAGGGCTTTCCTTACACGGTAACGAAAGAGTCCCTCCAGATCTGCCCAATCTCTTTTCCTAGCTGCCAGAATGACTAGGGTTAATAGCATAATACAGCCAAGAACATGCTGGACCTTACAGGGAGGAGGAATTAATACACAGCATGTACCAACAAGAGCCAGGGAGGTTCCCATAGATCTAGATTTTGATGATACCAGAATAGAAAACTGAGTAAGAAGGACTTTATTCATCG